TTAATCTGCAGTTTTATCCACAAAAAACAAATACAGTACACATCCAGTCTTAAAGTTTCAGGCTTTTTTCATCCTCTAATAAAACCAAAGTGACATTACTTTCCTTTTCAGATTTTGGCTGTTGATCCCTTTTGGTTTTTTGCAAGAAAAATTGAGAATAATGTATCTGCTTTTTGTTTTTTTCCAGATTCATTTAAATTTATACATACGCTTTTCCATTAATTTTTTTCCTTGCTTGAAGTGACTGAGTCAAATCTGCCATGATTGAGGTCAGCATGGAGACCACCTTCTGACATGAAGCTCACGCAGCTGCTAATGAAAACCTTAAGGCCATGAAGGGGTAAAACACATCTGACTAACATGCATTTGTGCATGACCAATTCAGAGACTTTGTAGCTATTAAAGTGCTGGGTGAAACATGAAGAAAAATAGCAGGGGCAAGCTAGAAGTGCACCTGGACATAAATAACAAAACATATTAATGTCACACTGAGTTTAGAGTGACTTAGGATAACTAAAGAGGCGGCAAATCTGGCTCTGTACAGTTTTCTCAAGAGCTTGAAAGCTACTTTCAAACTGTGTTCTGGTTAATAGAAGCCCAAATCCCAAAGAATAGACCAGTTTGAATTACATTTAGTAGGGTGAAAATAAGAAAATATGTTCTGTAACAACTGGCTAGTGTTCTCAAGCAGACATACCATGGACTAACTGAAAAGAAATAGAACAATAACATCCCAAAAAGAGAGGATACCACTTATAAAAAATGACTCATGACTGGTAATCAGATCCCAGACAAAGAGGGAAGTTTTTACTTCAGCTTTTTGATATAAAAGAAAAAAGGACCAGGCAAGGGAACATTACTCTGAAATAAGACCTCAGAACAATTCCCTTGGGTAATAAATCACGGTAAGTTCCCAAACGGTGACCTTTGTATGATGCAGATGAAAGGAAACAAAAAAATCACAAACAGATTCCACACCTAACTGCCTTCTTTGGGATGACTGTTCCAGTCACCTCTTCCCCTTTATGTTGTAAAATGATCTCAGTCATGTGCTGAGAATAGTGCAGATGAGGATTTCTATCTTTTGAGTCCCAAGTTATTGTCATTGTTGTTATTATATTGTTTCACAATGTTTAAAAAGACTCATCAAAACCATGCCAAAAACCAGCTTCATGTCGAATTTTCAGATATGTTCACAATGAATGTATTTATATTCATGTTTGGGGCAACAACTCAGTGATACTATGATGAAATAGATGATATTCTCAATAATGAACGGCTTGAACAGGGACTCATAATGCTTATATTTGAATTGAATTGTTATAAGAAAAATAGATATAGCTGTGAAAATGTTAAACTGAAAGTAATCTGTAGAATGCACTACACTGGACCGACTTTTTTTCTTCTTTTTTTTAAATCAAAACCATACATCATCAAAATTGTACGTGCACAAGTGCATACACACTTGCATACTCTCCTCTGCCAGGTTTACTCAGATGCCATGAGTAGAAGGAGCACTCAGTTGCTCAGGCCTACCTGAGTGAGAGCTTCAGAGGCCAAGCAGGAACAGATGGGTTTAGGACAGTGGGGTACTGGGAACAAGGGAGCAAAGGGAGGGAAAGAAGAGAGGGGGCACATCGACAGTAAGGGACCACCATCACTGCTGCCCACACCAGACTACATTTACCACCAGCTGCCCGCCCCCTTCTCATCCCACCAAAATCATTTTCAGAGCAGTGATTCTTGACTGTAATAAATGAGCAATTTGCACACATATGTGTTGTGCCAAACATGGTACTACTTTGCAATCTGTTTAACCATGATGGAACCATTTACAAACAAGAGACCACAAAGAGTCATCAATCTGCATGTTGACCTCTTACTTGCCTTTAGGGGATTGTGCTATTCTCTATTATAGGGCTCAGAGAGGACCAAAGAAGCTGTAACGGGGAGGAAATGGAAGGAGCTTTTCGAAAGCAGAGTAGAGAAGCAATTAGCCAAATACTAAAAGGACAACCTAAGGTAGATGTTTTATGGTTTAAAAACAAAGTTGAAAATAATTTATCCAAGTCAAGTTAAAGATTTGAGAAGCAAAGAAGTCACAGTGTCCCGGTCAAAACTGAATTCTCTTTGTCCTGGGTGAAGCATTGGAAGATGACAATGCTGTATTCATCTTACCGTGCACACCAGGCATTGAGCTTAAACATTTAGTGGACACTCCATTTCGAGCAACCCCGTGTCTTATACCAGCACACTAAGGAGCCCCGGGTGGGCTTACTCATGCCATATGTACACTGAAGCCAAACAAGGCCTAAGGACACTTCAGGGTGGTTCAGAGTAAGGAGGGGCAGGGAAGCTAAAGGCGAGGTGGTGTGGTCTTATGGCTGAAACCTGTGATTTAGAGGCTGTTGATATCGGGCAGACAGCCCAGGCTCAGTCACTGACTCACTGTGGATGACGCTGCATAATTCACTACACTTAAAATGTCCTCATGTGTTTAGATCTGTTCAAGTGGAAATCAGCTGCACTCAAAGAGCTGGAAATGGCTACTGGATCTGATTTTCTTGTTCCTCTTTCTTTTTTGCTCTTTTTCCCTGAAGCCTTTGCAAACAGATGGCAGGGGCTCATTAAGCTGTTGTCAGGACTATTAATGACATTGCGAACACTTTCGGAGGTCTGTATGCCTTATGGCATATGACTGGCAAAGCCTGACCATTGAAGAAGGTGTGAGCGTAATACAATGCTGCTGTGTGCTGCGGGGTGAGGGATGGCTGCCATGACAGAAAACTGCACACTGAAGGACTGTTAGCAGTGAGCTGGCATTAATGATTTCATGTCAGTGGTACGGTTGAGTAAAATTGATCGGTGATTTGTGATTTCAGCACTGCGGGCAATGCAGTGAAATAATCGAGATGTGTCTTGTTACACCTTCAGTTAAAAGAGATCATATTAAATGACAAGTAGTTGTAGTAATTTTAAAAACAACTCATTTTCAAGCAGGACAGCTGTTGTGCTCTGACCGGGTTTATTTTATTGCTTAGATAAGAGGCCTTACAGTCATGCAGATGGACTCTACAGAACCCCAAATCGTGCGTTGTTGACCTTTAAGAACAGTCCTTCCTCACTCTTTGGAGCCCTATGAACTGAGAAGTGTAAAGTCGTGGTTGAGTTATTTTGGCGCAGAAACACTGAACTTCACAGGCGTCCCGTTACTACCCCTGTTAAATGTGCTTATGATTATGATGCTGAGTTACGAAGCAAACAATGCAGTGACAGAAAAGGCAGCAAAATACAGGAAACCTACAGTGCCTCTTCTGTCTGGGAAACGGCAGAGACAGCAGCCAAAGCTTGTGGAGCCCCATAGTTGTATTGTTGATGCTTATGTGGTCGTAGTTAAACCAAACCATCATCCCAGGGGATATTCTTTCAGCGGGTTAGACGCTGAGTACATGAGAAATCCCCCACTGACCCTGCAAGTATAAAAGAGCAAAACAGGTGGTATCTAGACAGGAAAGTTTTTGCTCTTTGTTTCCAGATATATCTACTTATTCATCAATTTTTTTTGTTTTATCGAGCCAAAACAAGCCAAAAAGACTAAACATAATTTAAAATATGTAATAAAAGAAATAAGACTACATCAGATTAGAGCAGCAGGCTGTTGAACTGGGATTCGTTCCCTCTATCTCGCTCAGCAGATGTACCCCTCTCTTGTCCACAGCTGCATTCCATATGTATTCACACTGTTAGACAATGCAGTTGTCTTCTTCTCTATACTTGGAGCTCTTTTGTTCATGTGATAGCAGGGTCGCTTCATACATTTCTGCTCCTTTTAAGTGTACAAAATACAGCAGCAGTACTTTAGCTATGCTTGGTCCTGAACTGTCACCACTTGGGTAACGTAAAGAATGTGAAGGGCGGGGGGTCAGATCTGGCAGGGTCTGCCACAGCTTCATAGCACACTCAGAGTCATTTCCATAATTGCCCACAATCAAACCAGCCCCTCCTGGATTCCACCCGCTCCAGATTCCTGCAGATAAGCTGAGCCGGGAATCTGGTGAGTATCGCGGACCCCCAAGTAAGAACAGGTGCCGCTAATGCAACTGATTTCAGGTTCTCAGTGTATCCAAAAAAAGGGCAGGCTGTTGTTTCCCCAGTAATTGCCATGGTTGGACATTCTCTTTTGGATCGCTATCACGTGACTCCTCCGAAGAGAGGAATGAAACAAGACTTTCCCCACATTTGGTATTATCAAGGAACTAGGGAAACACAGATGCATTTAAACTATGTGAGGCATGGCAACACATAGCTCTGCATCAAGTGATCAGTGACTGATTGACATTGTGACCGGCTTTCCAATGCCAGAAGCATCTACACTTTTTCTGCCAGAATCAACCACAGATTCCAGAAATGTCCAAAGTGTCGTCCCTCTTAGATGATATATATCTGCTTTTATACATAAAGTTTAAACGTGGCCCTAATTAATTTCTGCTAAGAGAGTGTTTGATTGGGCAAAAATGTAAATGAATTCAGGATCTAAAATAGGTAAGTTTTATTAGAAGAACTATTCTAACTCTGAAACAATTGCAGAACTGTGAAATTTTAGGCTTCACTGAAATGTTTAGTATAGTAGGAGTATATGGAAAGGTCCACAAAACTAGAAATGTCTAACATGGCATCATATATTGTGTTTTATGTTGACTACAATGTAAAAATTTTTATATTAGTCAAGGAAATATCTAGTTTTGTGCAGAATAACCATTTTAAGACAAGCACTAAGTCAAATTCCAACCCCAGAAAATCGATAGTCTTATCAACTGAGAGAATGAACGCAAAGAGTCGATTCTATTTTTCATCGGCACCATCAGACTAAGTCATATTACGTTGTTTACGTCACGAATATTAGGTTACAGAGCATTTCACCGCAGTGAACACTATTATTTTTGTGTGCTGCTCGAGTGAGAAATCAGAGGCGGTCCGGCCGCTGCCTCCAGTCTCTGCCCACCGCCCTGTCAGGTAACTATTTACCTCCATGTGGACGCAACCGTGGCCACACGCGCGCCCCCGCGTAGTCCTACGTCACCGCGCTCGCCCCTCTTCTCGCGCGCTGGTTAAAAAGAAGGAGGAATGCGCACGGGAAAACATGTGAGCGCTCTGAGGACTTTAGTGAGACACAACTTTTATTTTTCTTATGTTGTTTTGTCCCGAGCAAACTGAACAAACTGGCCGGCTGTGCTCAAACGGAATTACATTTGAAAGGAACGCCATGCTCTCTGGGTTTTGACTTTTTGGTTTTCATCAGGATAAATTGTACTGTTTTCCTTTTCTACTTTTTTATTTTTCAATTTTGAAGTTCAACCATATCACCCGGAGAAACATTAGCCTAATTTATTTCAACACTTGTAACAACGTTAGTAAATTGAGGACACCTGCGTGTACAAACTATGTATTTGTGATTTTCCTGAAGGGGTTCAGCAGCTTGGAGAAATATAGTTGAATAAATACACAAACTGCACTGCAGGTTAACATTTGTTTTTTTGGAAAAGGGAAGCTTACCTTGTGTGTGTGCGTGTGTTTAAAAAAACATTTAGTTTTTGTTTTGCACTGTTTTTTTAATTTTATTTTTATTCTCCTTCAAATTATCTATATATTTTTTTTAAACTATGAAGCATTTGCAATTTGTGCTCGTCCTCGCCATCGCGGTCAACGTGTGGGAATGTGGGGACGCAAAGTTCGGAGAGAGGGGAGAAATAAGCCCCAGGAGGAGAAGATGTTACGACGGAAGCTTACCCAAGCGGCTGAAGAAGAGGGAGCGAAAAGTGTTGCTTGACAGCACCAGCAGCGGAGAAGTTTGCCACAGGTTGTACCCACGCGTGTCCTGCTGTCCCACCAGGAGAGCCGCCTATCAGATCCTGCACCGCAGGGATGCCAGGGTAGGTTTAAGTTCACCCACCACCTTGTATTTTCCTCAATGGACGAGGGACGCGTTTTGCAGCACCTCTCTACCGTTTGACCATTGTCATCGTGCGTATTGTTAAAAATCTCTAAATTTGGGGGTAGGGAAGTTGCTCTGCTCCCTGTAGCAATAACTGTGGAATTCTTACAGGGTTATAGCCTACTGTGCTCTTTCTCAGCTAACTTATTTTGCTGTCATGTGTATGGTCGCCTTGCCAAATCTCCCTTTTTGGCATATACGCTAGTCTAAGTCCACGTAGGTTTTCATAGTAGACCGTTTTTGTTTTCGGTATACAGCTTACTCACGGTGAGACAAACTTACTTTGCACCTACACGTTTTTCGTGACTTTATCTGAAAAAGGTTTGCGTATTTGTTTTGGCATGAAACCGTGAGACCTTCGATGGCCCCAGGGTGAATCTACATTTTGTTTACCAGGTGCCTTGAACAAACTGGTGCAACTCTAATTCAGCGTGTCCAATGCGCTTCAGCGTTACCATGGCAATCAATCGCCGATTTACGTTACGTTCAGCTACAGTCCGCTACAACTGTCAGGAGAGGGCTACTAGCTAAACCCTTGAGCTGTTTACTCAGAAGGTAGGAGTACGGTTGTAGTTTTTATTTATTGTGTTTTCGCCACAGGGAGCTTTTTTATGCTGTTGTTGTCGGTTCTATTAGTTACATTTTCTCTCGGGTGAAAACGCAGCTTTTTAACGTTAAATGAGAAACGTTCCTTTAAAAGTGCGCAGGTCGCAAAACAATTTTGACGTTAATTATCTACCGAAAATATAAAGGGGGTGCTGTAAAGCATCGCATTGCAAGGAGTTTTTTAACCTCTCATTCGAAGTAAAGGAGAAAAAACACGCACACAACTGTATGTGCAAAACTTGGATTCCGCTGAAACCTGAGCGGACCATTCTCATGTAAAGCACTCCTGGAATAATTCAGTGGCTGGGTGGTATCTCACTCTGTGCTGCGACAAAAAGCCATATTGCATCATTTAATTTGCTCAAGTCATGCAAATAAGAGGGGGAGAAGTGAAAAGGACGAACTCGACTTCTCCTCCTCCCCACTACACTGCCCACACACAGAGCCCTTTTCTGATTATGGCAAAAGAATAACAACAACACCATTGTGTTTGTTGGTTTCACTAATAGGAGAAGCTGGAGAACATCACTCTCCCCCAGTCATCAGCCCTGTTCAAGCCTTAATGCCTTTGAGAGGCTGTGTGCTCTTCACTATATCCCCCTGCCAGCAAACTTACACCTATTCCCTGAGGACAAGTGTTTTGTTAAAGCTTAGTGTTTCCTACTTCAGTGCTCCCCCCACCTCTTCCTCTCTCATGTGGTCATGTGAGGCTTGTAAACTGTTGCAAATCTTTTACATCTAAATGACAAGCGTTTCCCTCTTAGAAATATTATTTATGTGAAATATTACAGGAGAATCTCATCAGTGTACCAATAAGTCACAACATGCTAATTTCTTGTTGGTTCTTTAGTGGATGATTCCTCTGTTTCTTATACATGAAATGAACATGAAAAGAATAAACATATAGAAATTGACTCCACATTTTAAACAGCAATAAACTCAATGCTGGGACGCTGTAGGTGTGGTGAAGATAATAGTTTTCCATTTTTGGGACCGTGACCCAAATTTTAGACTTACTTTTGCTTTCGGTCACTTTTTCCTACTGTTTGTTGGGTTTAGGTATCTTGTGAACATTTTTAGGTTTAGTGAAAGTCACATCTGCCACATCTTTGACATTTATTTCTAGTAGAACAAATTATATGAAACCATCTGAAGAAGCCTCAAACTGAATTTGGTCATGTTAAAAATTCTCTCAAAAAGATTTAAGTGGGTATCCACAGAAACCATAATTCACTTTTTTGTTGACTGTTTAAAGATTTACAATGAGTCTTAGCTAGTTTGGACACCTGTGGTGTGGCCATTTTGCTGTGAAGCTGTTTTAAAGATGGGATTAAAGTAAATCTTATACCAGCTGTTTTCCCTCTTAAAGCTAAGCATTATCGCTAATTTGGTAGAGTAAAATTCACTGCAATTGTAACATGGACAGAGTGTTGGACAATTTGCAAGTCTCATTACTGTTTTGACTCTGCCTCTGAGGAACATGCCCAAAAAGGCTCAGTAAAGCACAACATACAAAGGTCCTCTTGTTATGGTTAGGATGATGGCAACATTGGAGCCCATCCCAGCAACATATGGACACAGGGCATGGCTGAGAGCACACAAATGCTACTCCCTGTTGACCTCGTGCCAGCCCATGGCACACAGAATCAATGGGCAATTTAGAGCAGGAGAGCAGGCATGCCCACAGCACAACATGAAATGAGAGCAGAGGGCACCAAGACAGAGGGACATACCACATATACAGGTCCACAGCCAGCATGGAGCTCCCTTTTTCAGCAAAACATTGACAGTTTGAAAATGATATATGATTCAGAAAAATTATTTAGATTGGATTTATATAGAAAACTTGTACGCACAACAATTTCTGCCCCCCCTTTTTGTATTCGTTTACAATGCCTGATCTGAGAGACTTATTCTGGTATGTCAGCATGTTTTTCAGGTAGAACATCAGGTTTTTGTCAGGGATTCAGCCACCTGTTGGATAAACAGAGTTCCGTACCCCTTTTAAAACAGAGTCTTTTTCCACTGTTGCAGTTTGCTCGGCAACCGGTGTAAAGTGTTCATATGTAAGCCTTGGGTCTCCCGGCTTAATTGACTTCGACAGACTGCTAATTTGTTGATACCAGAGTGGGAATGATGTGCTTGTCTATCTCTAAACTGGTGTTTACACATGGACCTCACACAGAGCAAAACACTACCAGCCTGCATGCTGGCCTGCTCAAGCGGCACCACTCTTGACCTGAAACAGATTAAATTGTGTTTTTACTATAGCTAATTTGTTATATAAATAATCCTGCTAATTTCTTTTGGATTAGCTCTGTGTATGCTTTTGCATAATAACCATGACTTGGAGAATGAGGCCTGTATTTGGCTACATTTATTTCATTCTCTGAGTTCTGTCAGACTCAGGATATATAATTTCTTAACTGTTTATGAGCTTGACTGAGTTGTCAGCTAATGAGAGCATTTCTTCTTGTTTTTCACCTAACATGAAGGGAGGTCCAACCTCATTGCATATACTGTTGGAGGCAGAGTTAGAAATATTGTTAGAATTGCATAGACAATATGAAAAGGTCAGTATATTTCAGGCAAATTATTTAAATTGCATAAGTTTGTTATGATAACAAGGTGACATAACTGTATTCATTTTCACATCGTTCAGATGATGCTATGAAAGAAATTCTTATTCTGCTCTAACTATAGTTAGTTGTAACACATTTCTCAGTCACAGATATACTCTTTGTTGAGGCCATAAAACTAGCCTTAAAGTGAGGGCAGGGCCTCATAGCAAACTTCAGGTCATGTTGAGTTGATATGGCAACAGATGTCCTGGATGATACGGATGTGTTGTTGGATTTGGGGGTAAAGAATAAATGCAAAGTTAAGTGTCTGGGACTCTGAAAAGCTTGGTGGGGCGGTCTCTGGTAAATCTGTTTTTTTAATAATGAAACAATCAAAGTATGTACCTTGATACATTTCAGAGGCTGTACATACAATTTTGCTCAATCTTAATCCAGCTAGGCGTTTTTGTATTAAAGGTATCTTAAAGGCTTGAAAGGATTAGCTTAGTTTTTATATCATTAATCATCCAGAATTGTCTTAAACTAACGGGTATCTTTGAGGCCAAAGTTTGAAATTCATCTTAGAATTCACATCCTCCTTATATCACAATATATTTTCTGTGGTAATAATGTCACCAAATGTCTGCTAATCCTAGACACAATGTTGGTTTACTGTGAAGTATGGAGTTAAACTTGACAGCCTGCCATTTTAATAAGGCATTGGTGGTTTTTGTGTGTGGTCTCCAGATTTTCTCCACCAACAATACAGAATGTGGACGTCTCCTGGAGGAGATCAAGTGTGCTCACTGCTCCCCCAATGCCCAGGTATTGTTCCACTCCTTGGACATGGACAGGATGCCACACAGGGAGCCAGACCTGCCACGGCTCTGCCAGGACTTCTGCCGCGAGTTCTATTACACCTGCAGGGGGCACATACCAGGTAATTACACTCATAATAATGGTTATAAAAGTATAGCTAGCCATTGCATGTGAAGCTGAGTGCTGTATTTTACTCCTGTGGGTGACAGTAACATGTCTGATTAAGATTAACAGAAACTCTTAGCAGACCTAACTTCTTGAGACTCAGCCTGTACATGTAAACTTGGGACAGTTCCGAAATTATGCAAGAAGAGGTGCGTCAGTAGTCTCGTCTGTGAATATTTATATGTCCAGCTTTTACCTCCTCTGACCTCACATCCATTTGTTGCTGAGCCTGTCTTCTCACTCACATGCTTGCTCCATAACTGTTGTATTTGTGTACATTGGTCAAATGATTTCTATTACCTTCTCTAAGCAAATGCAGCCTGATTAAAGAGCAGACTGACAGCACTTTTTATCCAGTAAAGAACTGAATGATATGTGTTCTTCTTATGGCGCAGAATTCAGTCTAGCTTTCTCTGTGTCACAACTTACTGGTAGTTTTGTTCTGGAGTTTTCAAGTCTCTTAGTTTTGAAAAAAGGCTCATCCAGTTATGTAAACTAAGAGGATATCAAAATGACATATCCTGAGATGTGAATGAAAGTAAACAGATTTGCATAGAGGGTAAAGATTTAAAAGAATTCCCACTTGTATTAACACAAATAAGTTACCCTGTATCAGAAGTTGATGACTTGAGTTGAAATAAATCATTTTCCCAGGAGAAAGCCCATCAGACTTAAGTCCTATGGTCCTGGGTTTAGGATGCGTTTGCACCTCAGTATAGGTCTTGACGTGAAAGCAGGACCTCCTGGCTTCCTCAGAATTAGACTGTTGCTGAAATACGTCTGTCTAGTGCTTTTACTTTTTATGTGATTTCAGAGTTCTGGTCTGAGACAACTTCATCCACTGAAAATGAAAAACCCGGGTCTTCCATACATTTTAATGTGCATGTTGTGCTCCTACATAGGAGCTGTTCTGCAACCCTGAAAGCATTTGCTCTGAAAAAGATTTTTCTTTGAAGGGATGCAAGATCACAGGTACCTGTGTCTTTGGAGTGCATACCAAACATGATCAAACACTCTTTGGCTGCATTTTCTCTTCTATCCAAGTCTTCCAATCTCTGTCGCCACAAGCTGATTAGATCTGCTAAGATTTGCAAAGAGAACAGTTTCAAACACACTTGTCGTCAGCCTTCCCACATGAAGCACTGCTAATCAAAGTCAAATATCAATCACATGCATTCCATTCAAAGACATCCTCACCTGCATCTAATAGTCTGTTCGTATAAAATCTAAACGCATAATGTACAATTTAGCATGCCAACTGGGACTTGGCAGAATTGAGGAGATGGGTGGAAGCAGAGGGTTTTTCTGAAGTTACATTTTTCACTTGTACACGCACTTGGACATGCACTCGCAGTCAAACCAGAAATGCTCAAAAGAGGAATCCAGCATAGGATCCCCCTCCCTCTGTTCCCTGCTATGCTCCTCCGTGCTCACCCCCTCAGCCCACCACAGATCAGCATATGTGGTGACGAATGACACATTTATTTTTCTACAAAGGTTGTGTGTATGTAAAACTGCTGAAGTGCATCAAGATGTCAAGTACTTTGGGTGGCCCACCCAGGTTGCCTTGGAAGATAACCAGATGGAAGTATAACTTTAGCTCTGTGGAGCCAGAAATATGGACAAAGTTCTGTCTCTGTTTCTCTTAGTCTTACACCCATTCTCTGCCCTCTCCCCTTGTTTGTTCTTTTACATTCAATTCTTCTCTCTGTTTTCTGTTTGTACACATCTCTAAAACGGTATGGGCATTCCCAAAGCCATGTCATGCTGTCTACAAATAAATTCGAGTTTTTTAAATACATTTTAAAATTATGGGTTGAGTTTCTTCTCGAGCTAGATGAACTGTTGTATTAACATTTTTTGATTTTATTTATGTGTATATAGTCATGTGAGGCAGGAGCAGTAAAATGACCCCGAACCTGAGAAGACACTTGTTCAACCATTTGCCAACTCGAAAGCTCTGGCTAAAGTTTTTCTATTGAAACAGTAGCTTTTACTGCATCCATAACTGTCGCCCAGCTCCCATGAAAGTTCCCACTGGCCCTTGATTAGGCCATGTACTTGGCCCCTGTTTCTCCATAAAGATATTTACTACCTTGACGCTCACTTCTGCCGAGGGGCCCTCCCACCTTCTCTGTACTCTTCTCATATCTCCTTCACTCATTCTCTCATCATGCACCCAAGGTCCCTAACCAGCATGGTTAAGATAACTGCAGACACACGAGTGTGGGTGGTATAGCCAGAGCTGTGTGTGTGTTTCTACGTGTGTTTGATCTTCATGTTGTGTTTAGATGTTTGAGGGGATATCCTATCACCTCCTGTACTCGGTGCGGTCAGCCCTTGTGGTGTGTGGCAGGACAGGGGAGATGAAAGGCTCGACAGGGAGAGTCCTGTTTGTGTTTTTATCACTGGTGTATTTGCTCTCCTGTGTCCTCTGAGGGATTAACTTGAGGAAATAATATTGTCAGGATTGTTTTTAGGTCACAAAGCACCTCTGAGACTTTCTGCACACTTTTCTCTTCTTTTCTGAGGGGTGTCGCTGGGGGAGTAATATTTTGACTGAGTTGGCTGGAAGCGTAGCTGTGTGTGACTGCGTCAGCAGCTTTTGTCAGAATTTAAGAACATCTTTACTTTGATTTTACATCTTCCCTATTTGAGACGTGTTAATGCAAAACAGAGAAGACTCATTTGAGGATTAAGACGAGAGGTTGATTTTTAGCTAAATAATTGTACCTCAACATTGTATTATATTAGTTTGAATTAATCCTTCAATTGTTATTTCACATTACGGTAAAGATCACTGTTTTGTGAGCACTATCTATTAACTACCACCACAAAATATCAAAGAAACTACGTATTATTATAATGTTCCATTAGCTAACGATGCTGTTTTTACAATCTTTTTTGTCCCATACAGAGAAAATGACCTGATCCGGCTTATAACACATTGGTTTTAATCTTTGATTGTTTCCTCAAAGATCCATCAGGATTTTTGCACAAGCATTAAGTCTTAAATCAAAATGAGGAGCAGGTAAATTCGAATTGAGAATGCAGTTGTTTTGTTCCCTGGAAGATAATAGTTTATAGCACATCCCTGTCTAATCTGTGATCCATTTGGTTTGGCCCACTTTGCCTTAACTTATTCTTTTGAGCCTTTTCTACACAGGATCTGTTTCCCCAACACACAAGCAAATCACATTATTTCTCTCTTCCTCAGACTTCACATAAATTATGTCCTTGCACATGCAACTAGTCCAGCCACAATGTATTGCAGGCATCCACAAATAAGTACCATATCAATAATCTTATATTCATCGGGTCTTCTTGGTTGAGCCAGCAACATGAGCCAAGTGTGTGAAGTTATTTAACCATGCAGCATCAACATTAAGCGTTTGTGCCTGTTGTGTTTGCACAGAACTGTTCCAAGCCGATGTGGATGAGTTCTGCCAATACTATGGAAGAAGAAGTGCCAGTTTATGCTTTCCAGATTTTCAACGAAGGCAGCCTTTTGGGCAAGATTCCAACTCCCTGAAAGATATCGGCAGGTTTGTAGTCCGACTTTTGTTATGTTTTTACAATCTGAGGAGTTAGCTTCCCAATGGAAGATGAACACAGTATAATTTTAAATTAACTTTGACAATTTAATGTTTTTTAATCAAGTTGATATTTAATCAGTTCCGTAAGCTCTGGAAACTGTCTGTGCTATTATTGTAGTGGTTGTCAATTCTGCTGTGTGTTCTGGGTTCATTGGTCTGTTTTGACAAAGACATGCAATGCATTCTTTCTTCTAATCCGAAACTTTGTCCATACTGCTTTTACTCAGCTTTGCTAAAATAATGAAAATTCTTAACTTGCATCGTTCTGTCTCACTCACTGCGAATGTTGATACATCACAGAGGGCTTTGTCCTTTTTGTCATTGGGGGATGCCTTTCATCTCCGGTTGCCCTGAGGCAAGAAGGCTAGAAAGCATGCACACCTGAATAGCAGCAACCAGCAAATGTTTATAATAGCCTCCAACATTTAGAGATGGGAGCACCTTTATTCCCTCTGTTTTTCATCTTCTGAGAGTTGTATTTACACAAATGGCATTGGGCAGGACTGGGAGAAGATGCCAAAGTTATTGGCTAAGAACATTACCTTTACTGTCGTTGCAGCCAGACAGAATGTTCCAGAGATCTCTCCTCAGACCTCTTCATGCAGGCTAGACAAACCAAATTAAAAGTATTGCTCTTGGATTCACAGATGGCTTTAGAGAGGATCAATCAACAAAATATCCACTCCTCTTCTGTTTTTCACATCTCCCTTCCTAATGCATTTGCTTGCATGTTTGCCACTAGCTTTCACTCTTCTTTTGGCTCCTCAGTAAACTGAAGGCCAATCAATGCAAATTATTACTGATTTGTGAATGAATAGATAAAGACTGTTTTTTTTTAAAAGTAGGATAGTTCCTGTGGGAGAACCATCGTGTATATTTCTAAAAAGATGAGGAGAAACTATTATCTTATTTCTTATATACATCTCCTTTCAAATTCTTCTACCTGTAAGTCTACCTTATTCATGGAGCACCACAATCATTCTTTAACCTTTTGTACTTCTTTGTAACCCAGGAAACAAAAACACAACTGCTACTGTGCTCAAGAGGTTTTGAGTGGTCTGAGGCACCCGGTTGCTGTGGTGCACTGTGGTGATGGCTCTCAGCGGCTTTTCGTCCTGGAGAGGGAGGGAATTGTCAGGATACTCACCCATAACCTCGAACTAATCAAGGAGCCCTTCTTGGACATCCACAAACTGGTGCAAAGCAGCCTGAAGGTAAGAATATGTTAGTCTCCATAGTGTCAAGGGTGCTCGTAGAGTAACTCTGTAATATGTTAGTATGGATTTCATTTCCACACAGATGTGAACAATAGAAATGAAAATAAACTTGGCTCAAGGTGAATTAAGTGATGTGGTAAAGGCTTCATACATGTTTATAAAACACAGATGTGTACAGCTCATTATAAAACGAAACCGATCCCGTTTCACTATTATTATTTCATTATATTTGACTAAACAAGCAGTCATTCATTAAAGGTGACTGTGCGTGACACAATTATCCCATCATTAAATATACAAACTAAACACAAAGTGCAAATTCGGCTAATTTCTTTAAATAACTTTCACTCTCCCTTTGGAACAATTGAACTAAATAATTGCTGGCCCGTTGATAGTGCCATTGAAAATTGTAAATCCTCTCTCAAATATTGGCTCCATAGATTAATCACTCCATTATCGGTCCATTTCTCAGTTTTGTTTAATAGGAGCCATCAACTGAAAAGTCAGAAATTTACATTTCTAGATATATCAACTGGTAAAAATCCCTTCAAACAGCAGTCCAATCTTTGGGTTGGGGTAAGAAACATTGGAAAAAGTACTGGAAGAGGAACAGCTACATCATCTCACTTTGAATTTAGCTCTCAACACAGCAGACAGATTATTGGGATGTCAGAGGGATGAACTTGTTTTCTACTCTGTTTTCTTGCATGTCATTTAGTAGGTCATTTGTCCTATTTTATGGTTGGAGTTCTTTGAAAGTATTGTCTTTAAAATGATACTGTAGATATGTGGAATTCTGAAATAGTTTCAGATTGAACAAAGAGTTGGATAGCATGGATGTTTGTGGGGCACACTCCCACACGGGAAGTTTATCTATCTTGCATGCCCCATGCTTTTCCACTGACAAGACATTTTGCTTACAAGTAGTCAAACGGAGCACAGCATTGAATATGCAACTACCCCCCACGGGATGCACTTCCTGCTCTTCTCAGCTCTCTTATCATAATCTAATCCAAACTGATTGTTGAAAAAGTGACTATTATGACAATTAGATGTGGCTCAATCCCCTGCAGGCCCCAGGAGTCCTATTCTGTGATGTTAGCTACTGGAATGGGCTCCCTGTCAGTCAGGATGGAAAGAACTTGGGGAGGGTTTAGGTGTTTACTGGGAGCATCAACAGGATGGAGCTGCCTTTATACAGAGAGAGGAACCCAGGCACCCAAGAGACAGGGCAGATAGGGGGTTTATCAACAGCTCCATGCACATGCTTTGATTGTAATGTCCTGTGTTTCCTCTTGCTTTTCTATCCCCCTCCTCCATCCATGGATCCCCCTGGTGCCAATTAAGTCAAACTACACAGACACAATACTATGCTGAGGTGCGGGCTCCTGACTGCATTGTGGGTGTTCTTAAATTCAGTCTCAACACTTCAGTCTACTCTCTGCCTTCCCACTCTCAGCAGCTACCCACACTGCCCACCAAGCCCTCACTCTGGTCAGGTTTTGTGAGTGTAGCATGTTTTCACTGTTTTTATTAGTCTGAGTGAAAGTATAATTTGGTCGTTCTGTTCTCGCTTGAAACTTTGGAAGAGTTTAGACCTTGTGATGTACTTTTTGGTATAAAGAACCGCTAGCAGAGTGCTCTTCCCTAGGTTGAGTATTGCGATGCTGTTTACGTTTATCACAAAAGAGGTCAATCGATCATCCACCACTGTCATTTTCAATGAACACCCAAGCTATTGTATGTAACAGAGGTAAAAAATTTGATCTTCTTTTCTTTGAATGTACCAAACTAATGATTTAGCTACTTCTGATTTTTCTGTCCTTTATTGTGGATTTTTTAATTAGATGAAAATGTAATACTCTTATTTTCATCCTTTTGAATTATTATAGTCCTCACATATGTGCATTTTATATTGGCGGGTCCATAGACCCATTGCCCATGTTAGCTGTGTATCAGTAAAATAGGAAGTAACTGCAAATGTGATAAGAAATAGTAATAAACATACTGCCACCCACTTGGGTTTCTACACACATATGTATATAGAAATGTATCCCCTCTTGTGTCATGGATGAATTTGCTCATGACACAAAAACACTGTATGGACATGTTTTGGATAGTTTGGAAAAATATAATTTTATTTGTGGGAGACTTTTTTGGCTATGAAAAAATGGACATTTAAACATGATTTACAAATACCATTGAGGTTTAGACTCGATCTCAAGGCAACTATATCAAAATGCAACCCAAAACTTTAGTTTTGACATACATGCAAATCTTGCCTGTATTCTCCACTGCAAAGACACTTTTCAAAAATACTGTAAAAGAAAAACAACTTTATAAGTTATGACATTTGTGAGCAGCACCCTGGACCTGACAGCGTGCTCACATAAATTACCCTTTGTAATAGGGGTGAGTTGGCTTCCTATAACATATTTCATTGTTCAAACAAATAAGATGAAGCGTTTTTTTTCAGTCTCTGCTGTCAGACGCTCAGGGCTGCAGAAACTAAATAAGTCTTCTTACTCATCTTCACTGTTTACTCTGCCTTGAAGAAGGATGAGGTTACAGTCACAGTGATCTAATTTCGATTGCGGGTTAACTGCTAGCGAAAGCTTAAGAGCAATGTCTGTCTTTAAAGGTGTTTATATATGCTTGAAGGTCACTGTAGAATGAGGGTGTAGACATGTTTTGCTATAATCAACTTGTGGAATTTATTTTGCTGTAGAAATGGCTATGAGCAAGTTGGAAAGGACAGAGAAGTCTGGGTTAATAATTCATGCGCCAAAAGATGTGTCTCTAGATCTTAAAGACACCACGCCCCTGTAGAACTGGAAGTTGATTTGTCGTATGTGTCGCAGTCATTTTCGACATGGTCAGCCTTCCGTGTAATATACCGTGAGATAGCAACCGCTCCTCATCCTTGCACTCACCTTCTCAGCTCTCTGTGGAAGAATGCCAGTAGTTTGACAGGGCCAAAACCGTATCCTCTTGAGAGTGGAGTTGGAGGGAATAGAAGAATGCAGAGGCAGGTGTTTGGGAAAAAATGAAGAGATAATGCCTCGTGAGAAATTCAATCAAAACACTCTGCCTGAAAGAATGATAGCTGCCATAATACTGGAAGACAAAGATGTTATAGCGGAAAGAGTGCTTAAAGACAAAACTCCCATTGCACCCCATTAACGTGTGCTGTTGAAAAAAATATTGTCAACACAACAATCTTAGCGCTTGCAGCTGCAGTGTTTATGATTAAGAAGAGGCTGTTGGAGTGCACTGCAACTCCAAAATAGTGTGAATGAGAAATGGGGGAAAATTTGCGGTGTAACATCCCACTTGGGTTCACACATGGTGGTAGACGAGAGCAGACAAGAGCGGAAAACTGCTGAAATTTCATTTTTACATCTGTCACCGTGTGAAAGTAGGCATTTGTACGTCGTCTAAATGAGCCTGTTTATACAGCATGTTAGTTTTCGAGCCGTGCCAAGAGAATGCTACCTACTGCAGCTTTGGGAACAGATTTAGCAGTCCGTGCTCTGAAAAGTCAGGCTGTAACTTTTGTCCCAAACTATCTCCACAGTTTGGCTTGGCGGTAAAGACTCACAGATGCAGTGTTTGTTTCTTATGGTGCCGGGGCCAGCTCTGCTGTTCGCCTGCTGCTGCTGAGGGAGTTGGTCATTAGCAAGAGAGCTAATATTTCAGTCTGTTACAGTCACTTTGTGTCTTGGTGGTCCTCCTTTAGCGCTGATATTAGGCCTCTTTGGCCGACTCCCTCTTGGAAGTTTATTTAGTGGATTTGGGACACTGCACATTCTTTTTCATTACAAGGAACCAGCATTGTAAAGTAAGCATCAGGTTCTCTCCAATCAAGATGAAATTTTCTGACATTCTTTGGCAGAGGGACTCTAACTTTCTACAGAATATTGTGTTGCATCACTTATCAAATTCCTCATTGTCATTTGACTTAATTCTTCTGACATTTACTAGCATTCATATGTTTTTGCAGGTGCTTTTCCTTTTTGGAATGTGGGTTTAAAGGATTTGAATATTTTACAATATTTTGAGACTGAGAGCATCCTGTTTGTGCTTGTTTCTGTTGTTGCTCACTGGAATGTACAATACCTGCCCTTTTTTTGTGTTGAGACTTGGCTTATGTCACCACTGTGTTTAAACTGGGCCTGAAGAGGTTCAAACAAACTCGGAGTTTGTCTTGTGACAGACCACACCTGTTCAGAGCCTGACCAAACTTTTTTTGTTCTAATTGATTTGGAACATATCAAACCTTAGTCAGCAGTTCCAATAACTGGATTTTACTCAATAAAAAAAGATGAATGAAATCGCTTGTGGAAACACAAGAGTTAGTAAGGATAGGCTCACACAGCGACCACAGTGTCAACAATCTTCACACCTAAGCTCAGGACTCTTAGTAAGGGAGAAGAGGTAAGGGGATCTATAACATAAAAAGGGGCTAGCCTGGGTAATGAAATGCTTTAGCTGATTATTACAACTAACTATGATGGGTAGACCACCAGAGTAGTGACAACTGATGGATCTGCCTCCAGGGTGAGACAAAGTTTTACATATTGCACAAGCAATTTGGATGTTTTCTAAACATGTTGCCAAGACGGTGGGAGTTGGCAGCTCCTTCCTTGTTTAGGTTTTCTTCTTTTCCCCCTTTAACTCTACTCTATCCTACCCCCACCCCCACCAACACCACCCCCACCCCACCCTCCTCAACCTCTCCCAACCCCCCTTTCATCCATGCCTTGAAATTTGCTTGGATTTAATCAGTATAAGTCGAGGGGACAGGGAGCAAAAAGCACGGACTGAAGCACTCTGCACTTTTGTGCTCTCTATGAACTGTGAGTGAGCTAATAAATTCTTTCAACCACTCAGCGTAGCATTCACGAATATCCCCCAAAGATTACACACACAAATCACCACACAATGGAGGCCACCGGGTAGGCCTGGGCGTCACAGGGCCCCACGACCCTGAGGACAAGCGCACATAGCCATGCTGCAGGAAGGGCTCTGCAAAGCAGGGGGGTTAGAGAAGGTGCAGCTCTACCCAGAGTCAAATGTTTTATAGTTGCTTGTAGATTCAGGAAGGCTGCTGAAGGTGAGAAACAGCAGAGAGGACGTAAAAAGGGGAATGAGATGGGATGGAAGGCCTGTGAAAGAGGATGTCATGGACAAATGTGAAAGGGGGCTAGAGAAATTCAAGAATAAAAGAAGGAAGGGGGTGATGGGTTTGTAAAGGCTGCATGTTAGAGATGATGAAGATGACCAAGGGGGGTCATTCTAGCACCACACAGCTGAGCAGAAGCCAAGCAGGGACATGATTAACTCCTGGATCTTTTGTGTTTCTCATCTGTCTGCAGGGTGGAGATGAAAGGGGCCTACTAAGCCTGGCATTCCACCCCAATTACAAGAAGAATGGCAAGCTCTACGTCTCCTACACCACCAACCAAGAGCGCTGGGCCATTGGACCACACGACCACATTCTCCGTGTGGTTGAATACACCGTTTCAAGGTAATGAGAAAAGTGTGTGCCAAATTTACCTTTAAATGTTCACCACTGCTTTACAGAACACCAAAACCTCAGCTGCCTCATGGTCACATGCTATCAGTTTGGGGTTTATAGAAACAGGATGAAATCTGTGGATGGATAGATTAAATTTGGTGAAAACCCTATTTTCAATACATTTATTATTATTACTTTATTTAAAGCGATAACATTCAACTTTTGGTACACAGATTCCTGGATCTATGTATGAATCAGTTCTGTTCCACTGACCTTGATTCTTTGCAGCAGCAGCTATGGCAAAAAAAACTTGTACAGTGGTACAGTGACTGTTGGGGTGCAGTGAGGAAAATGAATAAAATAAGAATGTTTGTTTTATAGGGATTTAGAATTTATGTCAAACCTCTGTAAAAACCGATGTAAGACTTGCTTTGCTGAGTTTTTGCAACACTTTTGATAATAGCAGTGCTTTGACTTTTCCTGTGTCTGTAACTCATACTACTTTCACAATAGGCTATGTTTAAAAACAGTGTTTTCTCACGCAAGTGTTCAAGTGTTAACATTTCAATTTACATAGTCACAGTGGTATGCTTTTTCTTAATGAGCTAATCTTAATTATAGTCCTAGCATGCAGTCATGGTGACTGCAGCATAGTCTTTAATTAGATGATCCAACATAGAAATGACAGCCTAACGTATTGCATGAGTGTGGGTGATTTTTAAAAGTTTTTAATCTTTGGCAAGCTGCTTTTTAAAAATATCAAGACTACCCAAAATAACACACCAAGACACATTCTCGTGCTGCTTTGGAAATTGTGCAACTCTTTTAAAGCCTGTGTTCCATCTCCACCCAGTGTCTTTGGCCTGATGAGACATAACATTAGATTTAGGCTAAACATCTCCAGACAAAAAAGCACTTAAACATATTTGATGTTTGATTTTGTTTGGGTTGTCAGCATTTCTTATCCGTGATTTTGTGTAATTTTACTAACCAATGCAATTATTTTTAAAAGTGGAGACGATCTGAGTGTGTCCTCATCGAAAAAATTGCGTCTTCATGTTCTTAAACATCATACTGCCTTTCTTTTTGTGGATTCAGTTTCAGGGCAGCAGTTTTCATGCTGCTTGTAAGACTGTACCAAACATTTTATTTTCGAAATGTTGGAGATTGTCTAAGATGTATTATGTTCTGATGATCTTAAAAGTCATTTTGGTTTCTTCAGAAAAAACCCAAACCAGGTAGACACCAGGACAGTCCGTATGCTTATGGAAGTGGCAGAGCTGCACAGGAAACACCTAGGAGGTCAGCTTCTCTTCAGCCCTGATGGTCTGTTGCACATCATTCTTGGAGATGGCATGATCACTCTTGATGATATGGAAGAAATGGATGGACTCAGGTGAAGCCAAATGTCAACATTTACAAGTCTGGGTACTCGTGTATAACCAAAGTTTAAATTCTGTCATAAGTTCGATATTTATGAGGCTGATTTTTCTTTTGTGTGTATTTTTTGAATGCAGTGATTTCACAGGGTCTGTCCTAAGGGTGGACGTGGACACAGACATATGCACATCACCCTACTCCATACCACGGAACAATCCCTACTTCAACAGCACTAATCAACCACCTGAAATTTTTGCCCATGGATTACATGATCCAGGCAGGTGAGTAAGATATCTGAGTCAATGTTTGAATGTCATTACATACAATTAAGCTCTGTATTTATTCATCTTTTGGAAGACCTTGACATTTCAATCTTTGGATACGTAATATGACTAAAATCTTTACGCTTGTGCACATTCAAAGTACCCTTCTGTTGTTGGTGTTTTTGAAAAGTAGGTGCCGAAATGCTGTTTTATAGTAGGTTAGTACGTTTTTTCTTGCTTCTTTTGCATTCGTTTCTGTCTTCCTGTATTCTGTAGGTGTGCAGTGGATCGACTTCAGACAGACAATGGGAGTCTTGTTATCCTCTGCACAGATGCCAGCGGCAAAAACACTTCGGCAGGAAGAATATTGGAAATTACGACGGGGAAGGATTATGGTGAGTCATTATTTCCATGAGATTTTTAAAAGAAGTGGCCATAATATTTACCTTTTTTCTGTTTCGAAAGAGTTCATAGTTTTGCAATGTTAATATAGCCCCTGACAACAATAACTTAGCCCAACCTCTGACTGAGTTTGTGTGACGGCATTACATCGTGAGTTTGAAATGAAAAGACATTAACCTTTTGGATAGCCTTCCATATTTATTCCTCTGAAAATGACATCTGTTTTTATTAATGCCTTTCATTTTGAAAGAACACAGTGTTTTGGCAACAAATTTAGAAACACACCAGGTTGAGTGCGGAGACAGTGAAGGTTAAATGTAAAAATGATGTGATCCAGAAATATTCCCCCCTTGTGGAAGGAGTTTTTCCAAGGGAATGTGCGATTGTGTCCACACGTAAGATTTAGAGCTGTCAACAACAGTAACTGTCTAGATGATTGGATAGTGCTGTTCAAAACGCAACCGAGAGAGTCTAGTTCTTCACATATTGAGAAAATAATCAATAGCAGGACTGTTCTTTTGCAGTGTTCAACTAACTACTTTTCACAAAAAATCAATTGTGGCTTTTCGTTCCATATTACATCAGAAAGGTGATATTTTCCACGCTGACAGATATTTTCAGCCATGACCGCTCGTTCCAAATCAATTTCTTGCCCTTGACTACCTCCGTTACACAAACTCTGAAGTGATGGTAGTTGGGAATGAGCACACCACATGTTGGTTCATAAATTTTGAGTGTAGTCAAGTTCTATTGATATCAACCTTTGCCAGTACTACCTCAATCCAGATAAAATGCCATATTGCTCAACACGGTGAAAATGAAGTTATGTTTTTATTTAAAAACCGACAAAAATACTTAATACATTAATAAATCATGATAAAGACTTCTGTATAACAGTAGATTACACATAAATTCCCTACACTTCATGTTAGCTGAGACCTACATTTCCTTGTCCCTCTATAGAAAACGAGCCCTCTGTGTATGACCTCCAGTCCAGTGGAGGAGCACCACCTGTGGGGGGCTTCATTTACAGGGGCTGCCAGTCTAGAAGGCTCTATGGCAGTTACGTGTTTGGTGACAGAAATGGGTAAGTACAAATAAAGAATGATCCAGAGGGAGGAAATGGTTGTTCAGTGTTGTGAAATCTTAATTGCGTTTCTGCATACATTATCTTTGTGGACATTCCAAAGGCTTCATCCTCTTGGCATGATGTACAGTTGATTTATAACTTATTGAGGTCAGCATGACTCTTCCTTATCTTCTGGACATGTGCCACTGTAAACAGAGAGTTTCATCTATGTCAGGGAAACTAAGTTTTGTGTTACTGTCACCACTACAGCATGGCCAATTGAGTGTAAATGGAGATTAGACATCCTGCCCTGTGCTGTTCACACTTTTCTTTGGTTTGTAATTCATCCTACTTTGCTGATGTCAAACACTGACGCTTGAGTAAGCAAAGGAAGTAAATAGTGAGGGGGCGCACTATCAGGAGTTGGCACTGTGTTTAAAACAATGTGTGGTCGGTGAATTCTGTGTCTCATTACAATTTGGAAGCATATTGTTGTGGCTAACTAAAGGCTCCGGCATGGTGTTTATTTTGAAACTAAAAACTGATGTCTTAAATAACACCATGTGGGCCATGGAGTGGAAAAGGAAGATGGGTCATTGAACCATATTATGAGAACTAAGAGTTGTCCTTGTTTCCAGATATCAACCATTACTTGGGTGGTACTGTTACGGTTCAGTTATATTGTATTTGTCACTTTCCCAACCATTTGTATGTCCAAAATAAAAAAATCAATGTCGTGTGTAAAACTTTGTTACTGTGTGGAATGTATAGAGTTATGCTATTTAGTTACCATGATGACCTAATCTGTGTGTTTGTTTACCTTAGTAACCTGCGGATCCTTCAAAAGTCTGCATTTTCACCATCAGCAAGTGGAGAAGAATGGCAGGAAAAACCTCTAAGTCTGGGCACAACTGGTTTCTGCAGCTCTATCCTTGATGGAAACATTTTGGGTTTTGGAGAAGATGAACTGGGTTAGTATGCAATTAATAGGAATCCTAATTCAGCTGTTTTTCTATTTTACCTCATGCTTTCCTCCATTTCATCCTATATCAACATTTGTGATGGTTATTTTTCCAAAGGTATGAAAAGATTTCACAACATGGACTCTAACATTGGAATGACTCAATTGACAGGTGCCGAAAAAATGGAAAAATCAGTGATTAGACACCCTTAGTTGTACTTTGCGTGAGGCTGCACCATAAGGTTATCCTTGAAACTCTTCTAAAAGTGTACTAATTGATCAGGTCAGTCTTAAACTATCAATAATGTAAGACAGATATGAGATCTGATTTATCAAAACATGCATACTTCGGTCTAGTTTATGTATTTGGCATAACACGCACCCTCCATAGATGCATTTCTCATAGTAAATTACCTTGAAAGTGGTGTTTTGGGTTGATGTTTTCGTTCATTGCAATTTTTCTTGGGGACTACAGCTTTAAGGAAAGACATTTAGGGTAAGTTGAGGTAAATGGATTAATATGTTTCACAACATTTTTACCAGTTGGACCTCCACCATCCACTGTAAGCTCTGATGTTTCTTATTAAAATGTGCACATGATGTTTATCATTCATACCGCCATTAGAAATGTTTGATCACTGTTATTGCCAGGTCTTGGAGTTATTATTTGAAGAGGTATTTAAAGATTCCTGCATTTGATCATGATTTGCAAGCAGTGCAAGAATTGTATGTCCCAAAAAAGGGGCCTCACCAACACATGTTTACAATTTGTACCCTTATGGAATTTTCTTGCAGGCTTGTTCCTCATTAAATTAGCTGCCTGTTACCCAGTCATGAGTAACAGGCAGATGTAGTCCAATGGCAAGTGCAGCACTGCAGAAGCTTTTAGCCACATTCATTCTTTTCACCCCATCATGTCCTCTCATTCCACCATTTTACTGCTTGTCTTGACATTTCTTAATTTTTGTATATCAAATTGGTGTGGGAACACACATGCAGCAAATCGAGCTTTAAATTCACTTGACACTGACCACCTTTTCTGTCTTACTGTTCATCTTTTGCAGGTGAAGTCTATATCATAGCTAGCAGTAAAAGCATGGCACAGTTGCACAGCGGGAAACTCTACAAGCTGGTGGATCCCAGAAGGTAATATCAAGAGACTCATTTCTCTGAGTCTTCTTTAGTGAGAAGCAAGCAAATTATTCCCCCAACCCCCTGAATTTCATGCTGTCTTAGTTTTGTGGTATGTAATTTAAGATCTAACTCTCATGAAACCACAAACTGTAGTTAATCACATTCAGCAGTAGAGAACTTTTCTCACTCACTTTCCCTCTCAGGTCTTCACTACGACACATATTGCTGTGACTAGAACTTTAGTCCCCTTCAGCGAGTTGTCACATCACCACCTGGCCTGTCCAAAATAAATGCTGAGAAGAAGTTTGCCCATAAGATCACAAAAACATTATTGTAAAGAATTGCTAGTGACAGGTCCAATTAGCTGACCACATGTACATCATCTTGTCTTACTAGCTATTTGCAGATAATTTGACAACACATTTTATTCTGGTTAGTTCGAGGGAAAGCCTTTCACCTGTTTCCAAGCAGCGACATCGTCTCTTTGTCTAAGCATATGTAAAAACCCTTGCACAAGTCCATACACATAATGTGAGGCACATTTTATTCATCATCAATTGGATGAAGTTCAAGTAGGCTTCAGCAAACACACACATCTACTTAAGTGTGAGTGATGAAAGCCAATGTCTTTATGTGCAGTCTAATACTCAAGTAGTTGATTTTAAATGACTGGAACGCAAAGAGAATATGCCAGAGACCAAGTTCATCATTCAAATAAGTACAGATGTAACAAGATGATAATCCTTCCCATATGCATTCCCTTTTTAGAAACTATTCTGATAATGAGGCATCTCTAAACTACATATGAAAATTGTTTCTCTCAAGATGGGAAAATGTAATGCCACACAATACACGTGTCATGCGAACTCCTCTCTGATGGTTTTCTTATCATCTGCCTCACAGCAAAAAGTACTGAGCTGCTCTTGTTGGGCTGAGCCTCACTATCCAAATTTACAGAACATGTCATGTTTAAATGTGGGAAAAACTCAAGTTTAGATTGGATTTTCAGAGATATATCAAATAGGAGAAACGGAAAGATGTCTTGCATGTCTCAAAATCACAAACGAAACATATCTGTAGCTGATTTTTCCTGGGTGACGCCAGTGCCACCCAGGCATTAGCACAATTAATTATACCACAGATGTTTCAAAGGGGCCCTGGTGGCTTTCTTTGTATTTATGTTTTCTGGCATGGCTGCTTGACGCATTTCTCCCACAGAACAATTCTTTCCTGGACATGTTTAGTCTGTGTGGACCCTGCGGTGTTGGAGTCCTCACTCTTAATACACTCTGGCTTCGTTATTAGGATCTTGTTACAGGGACGACGTAGAGGGTTTGACAGGGGGCGTAAATGGGGTAGCTAACGTGTCTGACCTCAGCACGTTATCAAGTCTGGTGGTCCTCCCCTCTTTTCTCCTTCACACAACAAGGACATCTGGACTCTAAGGCTTTTGTCATGTAGAGGTTTGTTTTAGAGCATAGTGGTTTCTGGGGTCCAGTATCTAGTGGTGTGTTTTGATCAGTTCTGTGTTTGGGAACATAAAAGTGGGCGGGGGAAGAACTGTTAGGGAGCATGGTAAAGGCTAACAAGGAAAGATCTGCCATAAAATCGCTCAGAAGTGTTTGTGTAAACATGTCCTGAACAGATTACTTCATTTCTAGGCATTTGTTTGTCATTGGGAGAGCCCCCTTCAATAATAAATAGGCCCCATGCAATTTCAAACAAGTTGATTGTGTGGTGTGCTTGAGGTTTTTTTTTTTTTTTTGTGGAAGGCAGAATGCAGAAGGCTTATTTGAGGATAGAGCAATGGGAGAAATATTTTGAATGATGCTAAAGATCTAGTTGTTATTACAAGTTATGCAATGAGGAGTGAGACAAACTGAAAACGAAGATTTAAAGTATAAAAATAACAATAGTAAAAATGGGATTACTTCTCAGTTGTGAAACATGAGATGCAAAAGCGATATGAACACTGAGTCAGAAAAGGGATACAAGCACAAGGGTGTTATCATTCCCTCTTATCCCACTGATGAGTGGAGCAGCTGTTTCATAGCTTTCTTGCTTATCTGACTCTGTTTTTCTATCACAAAACAATTTTACTGTCGATAGTAGACTAAATCACATAGTAACTGAGCAAAGCTGTTGTCCTCAAGCTCATCAAAGTACAGTTTGACTGTTTTACTCTGGTTATATAATAAAGCATGCGTGTATTCATTGGCAATTTAGCCACTGAGTCTGCATGTGATGATTTTATTATTTATGCAGTGACAAAGCTGTAGTAACGCAAGGAAAATACTGTGCGTTGGATATGAAAACATGCTAACGTAGAAGAAAGTATGTAAAGGTCCGTGCTGCCCCCGCCCCCCCCAGCCTTGCTTTTACATCCATAGGGGCAGACTCAGACCTCCCGATGCTTTCTGGTGTATTTCCCTTTCTGCTGGGTGCAACCCCTTGCTTTGAGAACAAGGAGAAGCAATACTAAGAGGGACTTTTCACACGTTTCGTTTTGTCAGCTGCAGGCTGGACTGATTAAATTACAGTGAGCAGAAAATTTAAAAAGACAGTTAAATTCAAGTAGGGTCCTGGGACCGCCTAAATGAACGGCATTAACCATGGAAGTCACAAATCACTGGATGAGCTTGGAAAGCAGACCGCGGGTGCTTGTTTGTGGATATTTTTATCCCTATTTGTGCTTCTCCGTGTGTTGTGTGTGTGTGTGTATGCATATAAACCTTGTGGGTGGTGGGTACACGCGCACATTCACATCTGTGAGCATGTGTTGCACTAGCTCCCTGCACATTGCCCCAAAAAAAGGCTTTTCTTTATTTTTCCTATCCCTCCTAAATCTTCCTAGATCTCTGCTGTGGTCCTCCCCCTGACAAAGCTGCTTGCCAGTCCCGCTGAATAGCCCTGGCTCTTACAATGCACAGTAAATTTCTTGCACATTTAAAACAAGGAATGAAGCAACAAAAGGAGCCCCCAAACAATGGAGTTAGATGACAAAACAGCAAAGGAGACCACACTGGGCCGTTTGATTAAGCCTTTGTTAAGGTGCAAAAGGGGGCACAATGTACACCTCTCCACAGCCCTTTTCTCACATTTACCTCATGTCAATCAAACCGGCCTTGCAGGCTAACAAGCTAACCACATGTACACACTGACAAGCCCAGTCACCCAACAGATCAGGGGGATATTTCAGACTGGTATGGATGTTGTGTTTAAACGTGATAATTTAGTCGACGTCATTGAACAGGGGGGCTGTGAGAGCAATTGTCCTCATCTGTATTTGTCTTCCTCTTACTTTGTCCTATCAGCTTTTAGTCTTGAACATGATGCGCTGTTCTAACTGCAATGCAACCATTTTATCTCATCATCTTTCTCTGTCCACGTATCTTACTCATGTGAGAGCACCCACTCATGTGCTCTCACATGAGCCAGAGCCTTCTCCCACTCTCTCACATACATCACCCTTTCCAGAGTTGATAAATTCCCACAGTGGCTGTTGACCCAGCTGCCTTTGTCAAGTGGCTCTACCAGCAGGTGCTGTTTTCACAGCCACCCTGGCAGTCGTACAGACTGTTTAGTAGCGCTGCTGACCCTTGCCTGCTATTAACAGTGTTTGCTACAGACCCCCCAATTCTCCGGGGACTTTCTCTTTTTCTCTTACCTTCTCTTTCTGTTTTCTTCCTTCTTTTGCTCTTTTTTTTAACTACATGCAGCCTGCAACAACAAAAGCCAGCAGGGATGGAGTCTGGTGTTGGGTGCTGATGGGAGCATGGGAATCAACCCCCCACTACCTTCATCCTTCAAACTTAAAGCCACTTTGACAAACGCACATTATTGTCACCGCCTTAGTCCCCATGTCCTTCACAGCATTTGGAGTGTAGTTATCAAACTAGGAGAGAATTGGTCATATTCAGATAAAGAGGGATTTAACTAGCAACTGACATTGGTTGTTTGTTGTTCACTAAAATATAAACCATTAAAAGAAGGACTATAAATATGGTTTGAGACACCAGTCACTCATTATGCCCTTTAGATTGTAATGTCAAAGAAAATGTACAGTTATTGTTTAGATGCATGCAATGCATGCAATGCATACATTCATGATGTTTCAGAGCTCACCTATTATAGATGGCCACATTGTACTTGATGCTGACACCCAGCTGAGTTTCCCATAAGTGCTGTGACGTCTAAAAGTGTCGCTGCTTTGCGGATGTTAGAGGAGCTGACATGGTTTCAGAGTCAGACCTAATGTGTGTGCGTGACTGTTGTTTGAGCATGTGTTAGTGGGTGTTAAAGTTTGGATGTTGAAAGATAGAACTTTGCACAAACAAGTGATTCAAATGGTGGCTGATAAAAGGAATATGAATGGTTTATAGTTCTTAAAATCCACCAGTTAAAGTGGCTGTTGGGAAAAAACATTTGATTCCAGCACTGGTCCTGAATTGCATCTCGTCTTGGCTCCTACAGCTGAATGACCATTTGCTCTTCGGCCATGATTGATGAGGCCTGTTCTCTCATGGCCTAAACATTGCACACAAACACCCTCACGTTGACCCCACTCCTAGTGCTTCCCGGCTCGGTCCGCTCAAGTCCAGTTACTCAGCCTGTGTGCCTATATGTGTGCACATGTTTGCATCCTCTCACGGTTTTTCACCTCGGTATAACAGAAATGTTTACACACTGATCTTTCTTCTTCTCCCACTCTTTCACACACTGATGTGTGTGCGTGTAGAGGCAGCAACAGAGGCTTCACATTTGAACTTGATTACTCATTTGCTGTATTAATTCCAGACTTGTGGAGCGTGATATGAAATACATCAGTTTCCTCCCATTTGCCGATGTGCGTGTCTGAATGTTTGTCTGAGAATGGAATGATCACAATATGTCTCTTTGGTGTTCAAACTTGACACATATGGCGTGGAGCGGTTTGCGTCTTCTGTGAATTTTCCAAATCATGTTCAAATTTGCGGTAGCCTCGTGTTGACCCAGTAAAACCGTTTTGTTCCTCAGTTGATTGATAATCAGAATATGCAATAAAAGAGAGCATTTTTAATGCAACACGCATAAAGTCTACAGCTATGTGCATCACAGGCACAACACAGTGCAGCAGCTTTGTTGCCACTTTGGTCATCCCACCACCCTCCGTAACTAGACACAAATGCACACAGCTATCAGAATACATTGAAATGTAATGTCAGTTGTTGAATTGGAATTTATTTCCTTCAGTGGTGTTTCAAAATCCCAGGCCTTGGACCTTTTTCCTCACATGTTTTACATCCAACACAGCTGATTCAAATAAGCAGGGTAACATTTAAAACGTGCAGGGCAGGTCGTCCTGATGTTTATCTCAGAGGTTTATCGAAGAGTTTGCCTACAACTGATTGGCCAAGTCAGGACCACTCATTGATCAGGACCACTGTTGTCTTCATCTATCTAACCTGCTTGTTTCACGGATGTGGAGCTCCCAGTTAGAGGTGACATCAGCATAAACAGAACATGCAAACTCCACACAGAAAGGCCTGAGTCAAGATTCAAACCCAGAGCCCTCTTCTATTCTAACGCTAAATCAAATATTGGACTTTTTATAAAGATTGAATGACGTGAACTTTGACACAGACACCTGTGCCATCATTGTACAAAGCAGCTGCCATAAATACCAGAAATAACAGATCAAGTGGGAATTTTTAAAAACAGGAAACCAATGTCTTAAATTATTTCTATCATTTCATTTGTAAAACGAACAAGATGTTTGGTCAGAGTCACGAAGATTGCAGTCTACCTCTTGTCCTGTCAGTGTCGACGTGTATGCCGCTAAGCTCAAACAGATCACTAATGAACACTATCTGCATTATAGCAGGCATTCAGACCACTTCCACGTATCTGCAGATTCTTTAAAGAAAGGATCATTTAGTCGAGTTGAGCTCGAGTCTCTTTAAAAGTGATCATTTGAGCACTATATTTATGTATATACTGTATATATAGATATATATTTTTCTCATATGGGGTATACACTTTTTTTTTCATACTCTTGGAGTCAAATGCTTTCCTTTTTGTGGTTTCCACACAGATAGATATTATCAGTGATATGCCAGTATTGTTGGTCCCACTGTGAATTATTAAGTGACACGTTCAAATAAAGACATATCACTGATATCAAATGAGTGCCTGCTTCTGCTCCCTAAGATTCCTTCCTGTGCCAAGTGGCTCTTGTTTTTCCCCACATGCTGACTTTCACTTGTTCTTCTCAACAACTGTTGTAGGCCTTATGCCCCCAAGGAGTGCCAGCGTCAGGTGGAGCCACCAGAGCTGCTGATGACAGCTTGTTCCAGACACTGCAACAACGGACACTGCACTCCCACTGGCAAGTGCTGCTGCAGCCCTGGCTGGGAGGGACCCCTCTGTCGAATCGGTCAGTATCTGATCCGGCGTCATTTCATTTGACATGATTTGGCCCCCTTTTTTTTTACTCCTGATGTTTAAAAGAGGTTCTGTAATGCCCCCAATAACCGGCAGACTACCCACATGTTAACACGCTAAAAACCTCCTCTGTGTTTTTGCGACCTAAACTCACCAGCTTGTGTTTTATCACCCTGCATTCCCAGCCAAATGTGAACCAGCCTGCCGCAACGGAGGAGTGTGCATAGAGCCCAACAAGTGCCTGTGTAAGAGCGGCTATTCTGGCGCCCAGTGTGAGAAGAGTGAGCGGGGTATGCCCAATGACCAGGAGAAAGATGGCATACTGGACCACATCATTGACATGACCTCATATCTCTTAGACCTAACTAGCTACATGGTATAGGGGTGCGCGTAGGGGGCTGCTTCCCACTGCATCCTTACATTGACACAAATCTACCTAACACCACCAGCAGACTCTCATTGAGGTGCCATTAATGTGGCCTCTTAATCTCCCTCAACCCCACACAGGCATGCACACACACTTACACCTAAATAGAAACAGGATCCCCATCTGACTGTTTGGATCCAAATCACCAAACCAAGCTCTTCTCTCACATATAAGCTATTTGCTCCTGAGCACCAGGCCTGGCATCCAAGTCGTGTTCATAATTCAGAGGCCTGCAGACAGCAGTGAGTTGATTGACAAGCATGACCAAGTTATGGAAGTTCCACTAAGACATTTCCACACCTGCCCACGGCTGGCTGCACAGGAACAGGAACTCCACAGGCACAGATATTTCTACCCCGAGACTCTGGATCTTTTCAGGGGCTGTCTGTTTTCTTTTGTAAGACCACCCCCACCCCTCCAAAAAACGGAGTTTGAGGCGTTTCAGTGGAGACTTTGGATGTTCGGGACCTCATCAAGAATTCAAAACTCAAAGGAGTGCTACAGCACAAGAGCTTATTCGTGCTCATGGCCGACTGAAATCTCGAAAATACGTCTACACACACAAACTTTAAAGGAACAACAACGACGGGTCGCATAGAGCCAGCAGTGCTTGTGTTTTGCCATTCTAAATGGAAGATCATGTTGCCTCATCTGTTGCGTTGTATTTAGTCACAAACACTAAAGCCGTTAAAGTTCTTGCTGTCAGCGTAGAGAATGGGTCGTCTTCGACAAAGGATGGTTAAATACACAGAAGTCGGAGCAACTGAGTGAGAACAAAGTCAAAACCAGTTTCATACAACCTGAATGGAAATTTTGGCTTTCATGCACTGTAATCATTTTTGTGTCATTCATTTTATTCTTCAAAATGAATTCAAAGATGTATTTCACACATAGGCACCACATTATTACAGGTGTGGCTTAATAAATTCCTTACATTGTTTTACACACTGAAACTGAAACCTGAACTCCAAACTACAAAGGGAAGACAGAGCGCGGTGATGTATATTTCCAATAGAGCTTACCTAAGTACTACTTAGCATTGCAAAAAAAAGCTATAGCATTACTATTGTTATCATAGAGGAGGGTTTATTTTTTTAAGCTTAATAATATATGGGAGAATATGATGTTTATAGAAGGCAGTTTTACACTAAGCTTGTCAGCTCATGTCGTTTCATGTTGTACTTATACATATTGCAGCTTTTTCTGAAATACACGTGAGGATTTCTTTTTCTTCTTCCTTTTTTTTTCTGTCGGTGTAAAAGCAATGCATGTCTGTGCCTGCATAGTGTAATTCAGAGCATTTGGCTGAGTCTATCGAAACTATTTCCTCTGACATATGGTTATATTACCACCGTCAAAAATGTGTCTTTATTGTGAGATGATCAAAGATCCGGTCGGGCCTCAAAGTCACTGTAGAAACACCTCACAGTCGGACGCAGATATCAGCCGTGGGGAACCTAATTCAGATTAACCTGAGGAAGAAAACGCCAAGACTGAACCCTCTAATGAGCATCTGACTCCTTCACAGTCAGAAAACAGTTAAACACATGCCGGGATTGTCTGAAACCACATTAGTGTGTGTCTATGTTTTCAGATGCCAGACGGATATTATTGAAAGACAATAAGCATGCATGCACACCCTGTCATTTTTACAACAAGTCATCTTATGTTCCACTTTAAATGATCCAGGACAGAAGATCCACTTCTGTTTTCATAGTTTCACTTATCGCGGTTAATGGAAGTTTAGAATCCATAAAATACTTCTTTCTTGTTCATCTCCTGCTTCATTGGTGTTTGCTGAAACGGATGAACTTTTACTATATTCAAATGGAATTCATACTGTTAAATAAAAAATCATATTTTTTTTAGCACTTAATGTGAAAGTTGCATTGTAGCTGCTGAGATGGCGTGGTGTGAATAGAATAACCATTTTCATTATTTAAGTAGTTACACAAATAAAATAATTATTTAAGTTCTCTTTGTTGTTTTTACCATTGTGCTGTATGTGACATTTTTTATGCCTGTATTGTAAATAAAACTAGGGATAACTTTGTTTGTCTTCAAAAATATCAATATGTCTATTAAAATTTATAGCATGTCTGAAACTGGTGGTCTCTGTCATTTTGAATTTTTTGTTTCTTTTAGCAGCAATTGGAACTTTCTGTAATTTTGTAAAGAAAGAATCTGTATTTTGGCATTCACTTAAACATAAAACCCATGTAAAATGAAAATTACAGCTGCATTTACTATCAAGTCATTATTCAATTGGATTGTGAAAATATAGTACTGATAAAGAGGATTTTACTGTTGATTAACGGTAAACGGCAAGGTACCAGGTGCCAGCTCAGAAAATAACATCTATCCTCTAACTGCACCGTTTTGGTGCGTTTAGCCTAAAGGTGTGACCATGTCACACTCAGGAATGATGATGCTGATGCCCTGTAGCTGAAGCAGCCGAAGAAGAATGATAGGAAAAACACACGTTGCCATTTAGGAGCACCTTCTGATTAACCATTTCTGAAACCATTTACCTATTTGGTAAATGGTTTCAGAAATGACTTAACTCCCTTAAGGTTTTCAGTGAACCAAAATCTGTAAATTCTATGACATAATAGTCTGCACGTCAAACTCTAAAGCCTCGATTTGGACATAAGTCCAGAGGAAACAATAATAATTAGAGACGGAGCTGTTTTCACACCCAGTCCAATAAAGTTGTGACTATGCAAATGTAAATTAAGAGTGCTGTAATTTGCAGCATTTCAAACCGACACTGAACTCACAAGAGAAATTAGAAAATGTATCAACTGTTGAAAATGAGATGTGTTATTACTCCACCACATACATGAGAGATTTTGATGGGAGTTGAATGTGTTATAAAGTTGGTTAAAAGCCACGTTTGCCATGATGCAAACCACGCAGGACACCAACTGTTCAGTTTTTAGGGAAGGAATGTTTTCCCATCCAATGTTTCCGTTCATTCCTGCACTGCACACAGATTCTGCAAATGTTTTGAAGATTTTTAGCAGATCTCAAAACCTCTGCCCATCTTTCCCTCTCCCAAGTGCTCTTCTTACACCTAGTCACACTACTGACCTATTTTCAGTTAATGGAATTAGCTTTGACATCTTTGTCCAGCTGTTCTTGTTTTTTAGGTTTTACTTTTCCAGCCTTTTGTTGCCCTGCCCTAATTCTCTTTTGGAAGAGCTCACATTTAATGTTTATGTTTATGCCTTTAACACACGCTTTTATCCAAAGCAAATTATAAATTAGGGGGACACCACTGTGGACCTCTTGATCTGCAGTCAAATGCTCTACCACTGAGCTATACTCCCCTTTATAAATGAAGAAGTCTCTATTTTAACACTTAAAATATTTCCTCAGACAGTAATGAATAAAAAAACAGTATAAAAGACTCATAATTAATCGATTTTAAACAATTTTACATACTTTTAAAAAAGAGTTTTCATGTTGCCTGTTATCTTTGTTTCCCTCTACTTGAGTAATGAGAAGGATTTGGTGAGAGCAGTCATTTAAACCTGAGGCTCTGAGGCTACATTGGGGGTTTTGTTGTCATTCCTTCTTTAAACGCAAACGCTGACATCGCTGAGTGAGCCGATTGATGGCATATGATGGCGTCACGCAACGTCACGCCATCCTTCTGGTTCCAGCTGAAAATTCCTCGTACGCAGAGGAGCGGGGAGGCACGCACGCAAGAGCCAATGCTGATGGCGATATTAATTTCCTTTTCAAAATACCAATGAGGCTTTGGGATTGTATAATGATAAGTGAGTGGAGACCACCCACCTCTCTCTGGTCTCACTCACACAAACACGCACACTCGAACTAAGTGCGCACACTGCCATATTTAGAGTAATGTGATACTAGGTTGTCTATGCAATGCTCAGATCCAATCAAAATTGCATAAAGTGGAACTGGTCAATAGCACTGCCAGGTCCAGCATACATTTGAGTTTATACACTCTCCGTGGCATGAATCATTACTTTTCATTTGGAAGAGTTTTCTTTCCCCCCCCCCAAAGGGCCTTTGTCTGACTATCTTTCCCAAACAGTGTAACTCAGTACTTTGCATAAACATGAGCAGTTTGTATACCAAATATTTGTAGGACTGAGATGTCTGGAAGTGCATGCTATAATATTGTATACAGGACGGATCGTCAGAACAAGCAATACTTATAGGGAAAGTGGGGAGCTGTGGTGCAGGAAAACAATGGCCCAGTGTTGAAAACACGACACGTCACTCTTGTATTTCTCATCCAGAACAAAGGGAACAATCGTTTATCGCCTCTGCTGGAATCAGTAGTTTAAATCAGCTGAATTCATTAACAGATTTAACTTTCAATCTGATTGAAGCAGAAAACCTAAGTTTAAGCACAAAATATTAAAAGGTAGGGCTGGATTGGTAACCTGCTGGGACAGCACTGTGTGTGCGTATGTGTGTGCGTGTGCGTGTGTGTGTGTGTGTGTGTGTGTGTGTGTGTGTGTGTGTTTCCCAACTGCCCGAGGAGTCAGAGTATGGTCTTCTGGAACACCTGGGCCCATGTGTCCTTTTCCCACTCATTAATCAAACAGCTCGGTTAGTTTCAGGGCCACCTAGGTTTTCTCGTCTCCAGTTACTGCCCCCTAGATGGAGAACTCCAGCCACACCTGAATCAGGTCAGAGATGGAGCTCTCCCCGGGTCAGCCCCGAGCACTCGTCCCGACAGGCTGGCCGGCTGGATTTATGAAGGGAGATGCCCTGGAGGTGTGCTGGTCAGGTGCACCCACCACCGGTCATCAGCAGGACCATTGGGCGCTTTCTCTTTTAGTTCTTGTTGTTCTTATTGTTTGATTTATGTCAAACCAAGAGTTTTTCTACAACCAAAAGTGAGTTCCTGTCAGCTAAAAGAGGCATTGGAACTGTGTTGTTATGTCCCAAATCTACTGATTAGTGTCAACTGCATGCTCGTCATCTGGGGTGAGCATGTCACATATTAGACCACTACATCTAGTCTACTCTGCCCTCAGTCCAACAGAAGTATTAGTTCCCTGCTATTTTTGAGTTTTTACAGCCTTTATTGTTTTAACCTCTCCTCATGTTGAGAGACACAAAGCTGCCCAAGCGACTTTATCAACTCCAGGCTTTTTACAGGTGAAAATCTTAACGTGATATGTGTTTATGACTGAAACAAAATCTGCAACAACACCCACCTTTATCGGCTGACATTTTTGATGGTTTCCAGAGGGGCCTTTATTCAGCATGTGAGAGCGCATGTCAGCGTATGACAAAAAGTGTTCATCTGTGTGGATGTGCATGTGCAGGACTCGGACGGAGGTTTCTTGAAGCCGGGTCTGAATGCTGAGTGAGTAACTATTTCCACTGTACCCCGACAGAACCAAACCACTTCACCACAATACCACAAAATAGTGGAAACCTCTGGTAAATCTGCTGTGTGTTGTACATCCAGCTAAGTTTGATGTCATGTGTCAACATATGAAGTCATGATGTCTTGTTGAGGAGGGCTGTTTACTGAGGTAGTACATTCTGTCCGCACTATGTGGGTAACGGGGAAGGGAAAAAAACACTGTGGTGACTCCTGGTTCCAACAAATTGATTCTAGCTTACTAGATCTGATGATGATTGAGGGCCTGTTTGTTTGTAGCTGAATTATTCTCTGCATGCACATGAATTCATCTTGGTTTCCCAGCTGTATATTTGTTTATTCACACCCCAAATTGTGTAGTGTAGTCTATGACTTCATATGTTTACTCTTGTGTGAAAAATGGCTGCTCAAATCTCACATTTGCATTTCCACTAATGAAGACAAGCTTCCCATGAATGATGCTGCTGGCCTTACTGCTCCCCAACAAATGCACCATTCATTACACAAGAAAACAAAGACTTCTTGCCAAATACCTTGGAATAGATTTGGATAAAGCCTCTTGATCTTCTTTTTTTGATAATTTTAGTTAACCTCAATAGTATCATCTTTTCTTTTCCTTGACTTACATCCTCGCTCTCCCTTCCAGTGTGTCTTCATTCCATCTTTTCTGCTCTCTGTTCCTCCTTCTTCCCTCTTCTGCTCCTGGATTCAGAGCTTGTTTACTCTCCCAGACCACAGCACTGACTCACATCCATGAAATGATGCAATTAAGGTTCCTACTGGGGCTCAATCTGTCATGTTAACACATGCTAAAAACACCACAGAATGCTGAGAGCAGCCTCCAGTGCTGAGGTGACAGGTAAGAGCCACTGAGAGGAGGGGTTTTGTTCATTTATACGGCATGTTTGTGCTCATTGCCAATTTGTCAGAGGAAATCTGGATGAAATGTGATACCACTCTGCAAGTAGAAGAATTTGTGATAAAAATAGCACCTGTGTGGTTAGAAGGTCTGACCGCGTGTAGTTTTCTGGGTCTTGGACACAAACTGAAGCACAAATTTGAACAATTGCAATTCTTGAAATTTGCATCTTAAAATCAGACCAATCTTAAAAGTGTTAAATATATGTTTTACAGCAGTTCTGAGCTACAGTTTGAGACTGCTCACACAAAACGTGTTTTACAAATTTTTCTTGATTGAGAAAAAAATAGTTGAATGAACAGTATGTGAGTGAAATGTCAACAATGAGCCATGACACAAACGTCTACATGGTGTTCGTGGACAAGTTTGCATTCGCATTTTCACTTGCATGAATCTGATCTATACGAACACGTGTGTGGCTGTAAAAGACAACATGTCGTTCTTGGTCTGTTTCCCTTCTCTGATCCTCAGTCCTGCAAGGTAAACAACTGATGTCGGCTGGAATGGACCACCTAAGTATAAGTTTCCATGTGGGGGTATATCCTCCAAGCAAAGCAGGGAAATTTTCCGAAACACATTAACAGAAGTTATGCAAATGGTTTACGACAGCGCTCGTGTGGCTGTATTGTTATATTAATCTGTATACACTGTGGCTCATCTTGGCAGGAGCCTTTGTTTGTCTTCAGTCTTAATCTGCAGTGCTCATCTCAAGCTTACATCACTTAGAGTCAACAGAGGGACGTCCGCCTCAGTCTCAGTGCTAACACAAGAGCTAACATTGGGGTCAGATGGTCTGTGTGTGTGTGTGTGTGTGTGT